CCACTGTATTAGTTTTCTATTTCTGCATAACAAATTACCCCCAAAATTTGGCAGTTTCAAACAATAAGCATGTATTATTTCATAGTTTCTGTGGGTTAGGAGTCCGGGCACAGTTTAGCTGAGTGCCTCCGGCACTCAGCTTCCCTCAGTGCAAGGCTTCAATCAAGGTGGCAGCCAGGGCTGCAGGTATCTCAAGGCTCTACTAAAGGAAGACCCACTTCTGCAGTACAGTGAATTGCTTAATATGACCCTTCTAGCCATAATCCTCCATTTCATGATGTATTATAAATCCTAGTTTCTATGCCTGTTTAGGGTGGGATGTACCTTGAGTCTCACCTTGCTGGAGGGTGTGACTCAAGTCATCACCCTTAGCTTCCTTGAGTATACATAGGTGAATGTTCTGGGAAAGTTCACTCTCCAGATCCTACATTTGGTTCATCATCATCATCATCATCTCACGTGTGAACTTGAGAGAGCAGCCAGTCGTCTGACCTACTGATTTGGGTTCACCAGCCCCTGTAACCATGTGAGTGTGGAGAATCCTCCAGACCTACCCCTACACCATGGATTTGGTACTTGCCAACCTCCAAGCCTCCACCACCATGTGAGCCATTTCCTTGGCAGTTTGTGAGTTCTGTGAGACATTACAGCTAAATACGGAATCCTAAGACAGGAGGGAGAGCAGTGAGGGGAAGAGGAGGTGTTGATGTTAGAGATGATGGAGTGGCACAGCAGTTTGGAAAAGTTGGACATCTAGGGTATCTTTAACCTCTGCCTCATAGGAACCAGGCTTGTGCTGATCCTTCTAAAAGAAATTATTCAAGCAACTTCCAACATTAATTGTGTAGCTCTTGGCAGTCCTCAGATCCTCATCAATGGTTGTGCAGAGAGATCAGTTCCTCATTGGGTTTGAGTGGAGGTGTTCCTCAGTTCCTTTTCATTGGGGTCTCTCCATAAGGCAGCTCACAATGTAACACCCAGCTTCCCTCAGTGCAAGCAATGGAGAGAAAGAGAGAGGGCATCCAAGAAGAAAGCCACAGTATTGTTGTACCCTAATCTCAGAAGGGGAGCTCTGATGGTGTAGTCCCTAAGACATTTGACTGCTAACCAGAAGTCTGGCGTTCAAATCCACCAGCCACTCCTTGGAAGGAAGGTTGGGCAATCTGCTTCTGTAGTAATACTGCCTCGGAAACCCAAGGAGGGGTCACTATGAGTCAGATCTCACTCCACGGCAGTAAGTTTTTTTAAATCTAGGAAGGGACATCTCATCACCTTTACCATTCTATGCACTAGAAGCAAGTCACTAAATACAGCCCGCATCTGGGGAGATGGGGATTACACAAGGGCATGAATACCAGGAGGCAGAGGTCACCTTAGAGGCAGCCTTAAAGACATCCATGTACTGAACATTACAGTGGTAGATTTTGCTTCAGTCATGGTTTAATCTAGTGTTTAAATGATGTCACCAAAACTAGTTTCTTTGTCTCCATTTTTTGTTTGTTTGTTTGTTTTTTGCTCCATCTTCTCTGTGTTGACTCTATTCTGAGACAGGCTCTCATTCTGTGGTCACTGGAAGGTTGGACAATCTACTTCCATAGTGATACTGCCTCAGAAACCCAAGGAAGGGTCACTATGAGTTGGATCTGACTCGAGGGCTGTGAGTTTCTTTTTTGGGGGGGACTACTGCCAATACCTAGCAAGATGACTTCCTTCTAACTAAAACCTAACATAAAAAAAGAGAGAGAGAATATTTGTCCAGAATTCCCAAGAATGTTGAGTTTCATTTTCTTTAGATACCTGCGGCCGGTTGCTCACCTGGGAAGCATGGAATGATCACTGTGGCCAGAGGAATGCAGTGTTCTGACTGGCATAATTCAGAGTGTAAAAATGACATGACACAGACATTTGACCTCCTCTAATTTCACAGACCATAATCACAATTATGGGGTGCTGTACAGCAAATTGCTTAATATGGCCTTCTAGCTGTTGTGCTCCATTTTGTGATGTATTGTAAATCCTAGCCATGTTGTTATGATCCCATTTTGGGGTGAGTTGTCTGTTGTGTTGATGAGGCAGAAATAGGGTGGGATGTATCTTGAGTCCCGCTTTGCTGGAGGCTGTGACTCAAGTCACCACCCTTTGTTTCCTTGAGCGTATATATGTGATTGCTCTGGCAAAGTTCGTTATCTTGCTCTGGATCCTGCATCTGGTTCATCATCATCTTACCCTTGGTTCTTGGGACTTGAGACAGCAACCAGGGGTCTGACCTGCCAATTTGGTTCCATCAGCCCCTGCAACCACATGAGTGAGGAGAAGCTTCCAAACCTACTCCTGACCCACAGATTTGGGACTTGCCAGGCTCCACCACCTCATAAACCATTTCCTTGGCAGTTTGTGAGTTCTGTGAGACTACAGAATGGATTACAGAGAAATACAGAACCCTAAAACAGGAGGGAGAGTACTGAGGGGAGGTGGAGGAATTGTTATTAGAGATGATGGAGTGGCAACTTCCAACTAGAAGGAAGTCATCTTGCTAGGTATTGGAAGTGGTCCAAAAAAAGAGAAACTCACTGCCCTCGAGTCAGATCTGACTCATAGCGACCCCTCCTTGGGTTTCTGAGGCAGTATCACTATGGAAGTAAATTGTCCAACCTTCCAGTGACCACAAAATGAGAGCCTGTCTCAGCAGTTTGGAAAGTTGGGTATTTGGGACATCTTTAACCTCTGCCTATAGGGACCAGTCTTGTGCTGATCCTTCTAAAAGAAATGATTCAACCATGGGGTTTATTAGGGAAGTAACAGGTTACAATTCAGGATCAGAAATGACACAAGACATAATTATTCAGTCTGGGCAGCTTCTTCTCAGCTGTGCCCATAGGCACCCCTCTGTTTGGCCCTCAACTTCTTGGTCCCATGACCCCTTGGCCTCTGCCCTGCTCAGGCAAGTGTTACAAAACTCTTTAGCTCTGCCCATAAGTGACCTGAGGCACTCTGCTCCACCACAAGCCTCTTTCCAGAAGGCACTCAGTATATTCAGTCATTAGGCCTGGAAGGCCACCATGCCTTCTTCTGCCAGTCTGCTGGTTCTGCTCTCTGCTGCCACCATTTCTCTGCCACTGCTTCTCACCCCCTCTCACCATCTCTGGTGTTACAGCTCTCTCTTTCTCTCTTCTTTCTCTATTCCCTGGATTGAGATGGATCCCAATGCAGTGTTCCTGAGTCCAAAGGACACACTCTGTTCCTGTTTCTTCTTGGTGGTAGTCAGGTCCTCCTTCTCTGTTCACTTCTCTCATTTTATCTCTTATAAGATGAAAGATGTGTCTTAATCAAGGGCATGACTTCAGTAAGGCAGTGGAGGACAGTGATTTGAATAAGACTGGTAAGGATGGTGACTTTAGTAACATGCTCTAGTAAGGTACTAAAAATACAGCCCACCCTAATCCTGCCTCATTAACTTAATGGACAACTCACTCCAAATGGGACCATAACCACAGGCATTGAACTAGCATTTACAACACAGCACAAAGTGGAGGACTGTGGCTAGAGGGACCGTATTAAGTAATTCACTGCACCACTCTGAAAGGGAAGCCTCATCTGCACCACATGGATTGAGAGATGGAGAATGTTGACCACTAAATAAAAATTTATCTGTGGCCATAAGTAACATTATTATTATCTGCCATCGAGTCAGATCCAACTCATAGTGACCCCTCCTTGGGTTTCCGAGGTAGTATCACTACAGAAGTAGATTGCACAACCATAAGTAAGGAGAATATAAGACAAATCCACCATAGACAATCAGGATGTAGTGCAATGAATTACTTAATATGGCTCTTCTAGCTATGGTCACTGTGACTCCAACCAGATTACTGGGTGGAACTGTGCAAATATAAGGTATTTGTGCCCTACAAGGGGGACTGGATAGCTTATTTATAATATAAATAAGGTACATGGCACTCTTGTTTGGGTGTTTGGAACACTAACATGGGGATTGGTCAGTTTCACCATCCCATAAGGCTTAAAATGAGCCATCTCAGAGCCAGAAAGGGGGATCTCACTACCATCAAGTCAAGGGAAGAGCCGAAAGTGAAGTGCATTCTGAGACAGGCAGACAGATGGCAACAGCAGAGGCAGCAAAACCAGCAGAACCAAGAGACTGGAACCAGACAGAATGGCAGGCTTCCTGGCCCATGGAAAGGGAAACCTAAGGCAGGTTTGCTGGCAGACGGGGATGTCTGTGAGTTCTGTGTGGCCATTGCAATGAATTATGGAACCCAACAAAAAAGCAGTGAGTTCTGTGGGAGGGATGGCTGGTGTCAGAATTGGTAAAAAGGCTTGGAGGGTGGTGGCATGTCTGCCACCACATAAGAACCAGCCTTGGGCTAGTGATATTGTGCTGGATCCTCCTTCCCCCTTGTGATGTTAGAGGAGGTCAAAAGATGTCGCCTCTGTGCCCTTTTTTGCAAGGGGGAAGAAGAGAACCTCAGTGGGAGGAAGTTGGGTGTGCCACCACTGGAATTTTCCAAATTTACAACAACACAGCATGTCTCAAATTTGATGGCTAACCAGAAGGCTGGTGATTCAAACCCACCAGCCACTCCTCGAAAGGAAGATTGGGCAATCTACTTCTGTAGAGATACCACCTCAGAAACCCAAGGAGAGGTCACTATGAGTTGGGACTGACTTGATGGCAGTGAGTTTTGGGGTTTTTTTTGTTTTCTTTTTTTTTTTTTGAGTGAGGAAGTGAGAGAAGTAAGACAAAACCAAATACAGAACCCAAGTCATCTAATGCAAAACTAAAGGAAGTGATGCTCAGTAACCTTACAAATCCCAAAAATGTTCTAAATATAAGACTTGAGCCCTCTGCCACAACCTGAGTAGGTAGGAGGAGTCCGTGCTGCAGGCTATAACCCACCCTCTCGGAAGCACATGTGCATACACTCTTGCGGAAGTTGTGGTAAGTTCTTCCTCCTTCAGCTGAGAGCTAAAAGGAGATCATCATGGCAGACTTGAAGAGATATACAAGCGACTGTGCTCTGGGGCCTTTCTTGGTTAAGGCACAGAAGAGTCAGTCACACATATTCTCTCCCACTCTATGGACCCCTCTCCTCTTCCTTTTCTTGGGTAAGTCCATACTGTGCCCACCATGGTTTACTACTGGTGTTTCTCTGTCTCTGGTCACATTGATAAAATCCAGGAATCTGTGGAATTGTTCTGCAGGTTTCCCCTTATTCTGAGTTCTGCATGTGTATGTGTATTTATTTATGTGTATGACTGAGTGTGGGCATTTTCACCCACCATGAGTAGGTGGCATTCTAGTCCCTGCTTCAGATCATTCTAATGTTCCTCTCACCCTCATATTTTCCCTGCTTTAAAAAAAGAAGAGCCAAGTGATGAGTTTCTTCCTGGTCAATGGGGATGAAATCCACAGTGAGATTCAGGAAAATGCCCATGATATCAAGCCAGCTAGCAATTTCCTAGGGAGGGATAGAATTGTTGGAGCTTCTTTCTACATCCTGCCTTGTTTATCACATACCCTGAACTACTAAGACTTCACTGGGGACTTGGAGAGAGTCACCCTAAGCTAGGTGACTTCTATCTGAATATCCTTTTGGAGCCCTACCTCCCCATCAAGGTCTAAGCCCTGTTAGTCCCTGGGGACCATCTCCTCGCAGCATGGCCTGGCCCACTACTACCCAGGAGGCAGAGCTGATCCAGGATTCCATACCTGCCCCCAGGGAGGATCTGAGGCACCTGGGATCTCAGCCACCTGGGACTGTGCCCCTCTGGGATGTGCTTTTCCCAGAACCCTAGAGGGTGGTACAGGTAGCACTGGTTGCTTCAGAACAGTTGGTGAGAGGAGGCAGGAGGTGGGGGAAGCCCTAGAAAAACTCTCCTAGATATATGGATGGGGGATGGAGAGAGTGGACTTCAGTACTAGCCAATAGGAAGTTCCAGGCTGACTTCACTTCACTTTCAGTTTCATCCTTGCTCACTACAAAAACACAGGAAGTAGCAGGGCTGTTTTATATGCATGTAATCCTTGGGTGCACCCTGGTTCTGTTGGGTGAACCTGAAACAATCTACATCCAATGCTATTCAAGCCTCGAATGATTACCACAGTGATTTTGGAACTGTTCAGGTCAAAGAGGCTTCTCCCTCAGTCTGGCTCCATGGAGTGGGGTGATTTCACACCTTTCTCTTTTTCCAAAAGGGAAGGGTTTTGTTTTGTTTTAAGGTTTTAGGAGATAGTAGGATGAAAAGATCCTTTATTTTAGTATCAGAAACATTTGAAGTTAAGTCCTTACTCCATTATTTACTAGCCATGTGGGACTCTATTTGAGTTAATAAGATGTATCATGCTAAATTCTTTCACAGATTAGAGATGACACATATAAATGGCTTAGCATATAGTAGGTGGAAGGTATGACTGTTACTATAATGATTATTATTATTTGGAAACTTTTAAAGAGTGATTAGTTAAATTCAGTTATCATTATCATATCATTGAACTTTCTTTTATAATATTTCAAATGGTACAGTTCAAAGTAAGAGGGCTAATACTTGCGACTACTGTAACTATACTGAGAGCACTATATTTTTGCAACAAACTTTGACTTGTGAGGCCCACATCCTGCTCTTCACTCTCAGTGAAAGTCTGTGAGGCTGTTTTTATCCCTGATGTAAGGAAAGATGAGATTAAAACATGGTCATATGTACCCAACCAAGCCCCAGTATCATCCAGCTAGGGCTGGTCAATACTACCAGCTCCCACCACTGCGGGGGCACTATTTATATAAAACCTGGGCACTGCAACCCGGTAAGCCTATCTCAAGTAACTGGCTAAACTATCTGTGATGGAGCTAAGTATAGAATAATTTTGAGAACTACATGGAGTGATTTATATAACGTGCTTCATACGCACCTCACAATAGAAAGTAGTTTCTTCCAGATGGAAAAATTTCTCTTTTAGGCAACCTCACAGCAACTCAACTTTTTTCTTCTGAGTCTGACCACAGAATCCACCCGAACTTACCTGCTCACGTCCAGGCTACTTATTGGGTCCTCCCTAGCTGCCCCTCTATAAAGCTCCAATAATCAGCTGATGTGGATCTGGGCAGGAAACATTCACACCTGCAACAATCAAGGAGTCTCTTCTGAGTCTCTTCTCTGTTTACATGTACGCTAACCACCTAGACTTCAAAGCACACCTCCACTTTTCTCCATCTCTCCAGGCTGTATTTATGCCTCTTCTCTTCAGCTAACGATTTCTATTTATTTCTCCACCCAGAATTCCTGGGATAGTCTGGGTACTAAAAGCATCTGACTTGATTTAGAATTCCTAGACTACTCTCTAGTGTCTCGGAACCATGGCATCTGAGAACCCAATCTGGGCTCCCCAGCAGACCCCACAGGACCCCTATAAGGAAATTAGCTGCCTTGGCTGAATGGTAGGCCCTTGAAAGTTTTGGTAACAATATTTATCGGGGATCCTAAGGGCAGAGCAGGTCTCCCTGGCCAAGCCAAAATCAGTCTGAGATTCCCCAGAAAAAGATGAGGAAGGCTGGATGAGGTGGGGGTGAGACATGCTCCTTTTGTTCCCAATATTTTATTATGAAAATTTTCAAACATTCAGAAAAGTTGAAAGAATTTTTCAGTGAACACTCATATTCCTACCACCTAGGTTCTATCATTAACATTTTATTTTACTTCCTTTTCATACATCTGGAACCCTGGTTACGTACTTGGCTGCTGAGAGGTCAGTGGTTCAAACCCACTAGCTGCTCTGTGGGAGAAAGATGTGGCAGTCTACTTCTGTAAAGATCACAACTTTGAAAACCCTAGGTTGCAGTTCTGCTCTGTCCTATAGAGTCACTATGAGTAGGAATCAACTAGATAGAAGTGGTTTTTGTCACGCATATATCCATTTATCCATCCCTCCAACTGTTCATCAATTCATCTTATTTTTAAAAGATGCTCGTTTTCACTTCATTAGTTCTTTACAGTTTGAACAGCCTGCTTTCTTTTAATCCTTACTGTATCCCTCAAGGAAGATGATATAAGCATTCTATCTTACAAATGAGTAAACTGATACTCAGAGAAAATCAGAAATCCACTCAGTGGCTTATGGGGCATGGAATGTGGGGGTAAAACTGTTCTGAGTGGTGCTGTCAGAGGTGGTGACACCAAAATTACTGTCTATAAAATTCATGTGCAGAGTTTCAGCAGAAATGTATTATTTTTCTAAAAATATCCTTGCACTTAGCTTTAACAACAAAAGCAATTTTTTGTAAGCCCAGCTTACTTGTATCTATGCCTATAAGACTAAAAATCTCTATGCTAATTTACTTTTTGAATTTTCTAATGGGAGCTCTGGTGGCGTAGTGCATAAGGCGCTTGAGTGCTAACCAGAAGACTAGCAGTTCAAACCCACCAGCCACTCCTCAAGAAGGAAGATTGGGCAATCTACTTCCGTAGAGATACCGCCTCAGAAACCCAAGAAAGGGTCGCTATGAGTTGGGTCCAACTCGACGGCAATGAGTTTGGCTTGTTTTTTTTTTTTTTTTAAAGCACTCCAGTCAGAGCTGTCTTTATTACCCAATTACAATGATGTTTTGAATTACATGGTTTCTTCTGCATGCGCTATAAGCATGCACTGTTGTTTTTGTTGCTGCCAGTGTTTTTATAGTCGCTGATTTTGTCAACTCTTCCCATGTTTTAGCTACAATATTGTGGTAATTAGTATTTGTGAACCTATGTCAATAACTTTTTGAGAATGAAGTAGTAATTAAAGGAAAAGAAGAAAATTGTAATTAAGAATGTAATTCAATGTAAAAAGATTTTACAAAACAATTTTGTTGTTAGTATTTATATAATCTAAGAAATATTACATTTAAGAAATTTACAACTATATTTATCACATATTAATCCATGATTTAAATTTATAATAAATATCACTGAAGGCTCTCTATAGGAGCTCTGGTAGCATACTGACTAAGGCACTTGACTGCTAACCAGAAGGCTGGTAGTTCAAACCCATCAGCCACTCCTCGGAAGGAAGATAGGGCAATCTACTTCCATAGTGATACTGCCTCGGAAACCCAAGGAGGGGTCTCTATGAATCGGGTCCAACTCGATGGCACATAACAACAACAACAACAATTCTCTACGGTCTGGTATGGCAGGCTTCCCATTGTGGGGGAGTGACACCATGAGTTTTCTCATTGGGTGACACCAATCCCAGTGACACCACTGCCAAGGCCATAAGGCTAATTCCCCTGTTGAAACAGAAACCTAGAAGGTCTGTTTTCCTGACTATTGTATCTACTTTCATTGGCAAGAGTGTTTGGTGAAAGAAGGAATAAGTGAATGAATGACTTTGCTAGGCAGTAGAGCTAGAAGGACGAAAGCAGGAATCTCATCTCTGTCCTCTAATACCCTCAGTGTCTGACATTTGTGTTCAATACATGTTTACTGAGTGAATGAATGCTGCCTTGAGGAGTCCAGCTGCTCCTCCAAGTGCCTCTTCTGTCTCTGCAGGACTAAGAGCCTTTGGAGAGGACTCAGTCTCAACAGCCGTGAAAGGGATCCTGGGGGAGTCTGTGACTTTCCCCCTGAACATCTCAGTAAGCACAGAGATTGAGCATGTCGCATGGAGTAGACCCCAAATTGCCCTTGTTTTAGCATACCCAGGAGGACAGGTTACCTTTCTGGCCAAAAGCTATCAGAGCCGACTAAGCATCTCCAACCAAAGCTACTCTCTGCACATCAGCAATCTGACTCTGAAGGATGCAGGGCTCTACCGAGCCCAGATAAACAGAAATGATTTTGCCATCACCACCGAAGAGAAATTCATTCTGTACATCTACGGTAAGTTCCAAAGAGCTTCTGTTAGTTTTGATCTTTATTTATTTATTTATTTTTATCTTTATTTTTAAAAACAGATTTTTTTTTTTTTAATTTATCACTCTAGGATAAATATAGAGGAGCCCTCTGGTGGCATAGAGCCACTCCTTGGAAGGAAGACTGGGCAATCTACTTCCATAGAAACACCACCTCAGAAACCCAAGGGGTCACAATGAGTCACAACGGACTTGATGGCAGTGAGGTGTTTTTTTTTTGGTGGCACAGTGGTATGACTACCACTTTGATCTTTTTTCCCAATTCCATATATACAGATGTCAGGAATGGACAACACAGCTATAAACTCTTTGCACATTGTATAATTTCATGTAATTGATCCCCTACTCACAGTCACATAGGTTGTTTCCAATATTTTTCTCTCTCAAACAGTGTTCCAGTGAATATTCTGATGCATCTGTCTTTCACATATACAATAGGATAAATTCTGAAAGATAAACCTATAGAATAAATTCATGGAGTCAAGTTACTTAGTCAAAGAGTATATACATTTTTTATTTTGTCAGAGATTTCCGAATCACCTTTATGTTATCAAATAACCTTTCCACCAGCAATATTTGAGAGTACATTTCCCCATATTCTTGATAACTGAAATTACCAAACATATTTATCTTTGCCAAACTGATTAGTAAATATAGTATTTTATAGTTTAAATTTATATTTTTCTAATCATAAGTGAGTTAAGCATATTTTCATGTGTTTCAGAGCCATTTGTCTTCTCTTTTCTATGACTATTGATATCCTTTAGCAATCTTTCTATTGAGTACTTTGACCTTTTATATTGATTTTTAGAATGCTCTGTATATATTAATATTCAAAGGAGCTCTGATGGTGTAGTGGTTAAGGCATTTTTCTGCTACTTAAAGGTTGGTGGTTTGAACTCACCAGCCACTCCACAAAAGAAAGATGAGGCAGTCTGCTCACAAAAAGATTTACAGTCTTGGAAACCAATGAGTTGCAGTGAGCCAGAATCAGCTCGATGGCAGTGAATTTGGTTTTCTGTGTATGTTAAGAAAACAGAGTTTTTTGCGGAGCAAAATCCAAAAACTCAATAATGACTAGAATTACTGGTCAGATGAAGTCTGGTGAGAATCCCAATACTATGGACCTGAAATACATTCAGCGCCTGGAGTAAAACTCACCCCTGGGGTGGGCCCTCAGCCCAATAGTTAACAAGATATACATGCAGATCACTCAACCCAGAATGCCGCACCCACACAATCAATGGTAATACGTCCCTTAAAGCAGTAGACATGGGACACCAAAGAACCAACATTCAAACTGAGGAAATGCAGGACAAACAGGAGTGCATAATTATGAGGGGCACAGGAGGAGTGCTGCAGGGTAGGGAGGGGAGGAGACTGGGTTAGGGTTGGACATGCCGAATGGGGAATGAAACTAAATGTACACATGACTTTGAATTTAAAACAAACTCTTAAAATAAATAATAATAATAATAATAATAATAAAACAGAGTTTCTGCAGCTAATAGAATGAATTTACTCAATATGTAATGGCATAGAACAATATCCAAGCTATATTGTTAATTTTATAAAAAAATCAGAACAGTATATATAGTATGATATCATATGTATAGGGAGCTGTATTGGGAGATGTGGTGGCTCTGTGGTTAAAGCATTGGGCTGTTAACCAAAAGGTTGGTGGTTCAAACCCACCAGCTGCTCTGTGGGAGAAAGATAAGGCAGTCTGCTTCTGTAAAGATGTATAACCTTGGAAACCCAATTGGCAGTTCTACTCTGTCCTATAAGGTTGCTATGAGTTGCAATCAACTTGATGGCTATAGGTTTTATCATATGTATGTATATACCTAAAATATCTCTGCAAGAATCAATACACTGCTCATAACAATGATTGCTTCTACAGAAAGGAAATAGATGGATGGAGAAACAGAAGAAAGAAAACTTGCTTTTTTGTTGTTGTTGTTGTGTACCTTTTTTTTTTTTTTCAATTTCATGCATTTATTGCTGTTGTTAGGTGTCCTTGAGTCAATTCCAACTCATACAACCCCACGTACAACAGAATGAAACACTGTCCAGTCCTGCACCATCCTCACAATAATTGCTGTGTTTGAGCACATTGTTGCAGCCATTGAGTATCCATCTTGTTAAGGTTTTCCCTCTTTTTCATTGACCCCTACTTTACCAAGCATGATGTCTTTCTCCAAGGTTTGGCTCCTCTTGATAGCATGTGGAAAGCATATGAGGTGAAGTTTTGCGATTCTCACTTTTAAGGAGCATTCTGGCTGTACTTCTTTGAAGACAGATTTTTTTTTTTTCTGGCAGTCCATGGTATATTTAATATTTTTCACCAACAGCATAATTTAAAAGCATCAATTCTTCTATAGTCTTCCTTATCCATTATCCAGCTTTTGCATGCATATGAGGTGACTGAAAGGACCATGGCTTGGTCAGGTGCACCTTAGTCTTCAAAGTGACATTTTTGCTTTTTAACACTTTAAAGAGATCTTTTGCAGCAGATTTTCCCAATGCAATACATCATTTGACTTCTTGACTGCTGCTTTCTTGACTGGGCATTGATTGTGGATCCAAGTAAAAATTAAATCCTTGACAATTTCAATATTTTCTTTATCATGATGTTGCTCATTGGTCCAGTTGGGAGGATTTTTTGTTTTCTTTATATTGAAGTGTAATCCATATTGAAAGCTACATCTTTGATCTTCATCAGTAAGTGCTTCAAGTCTTCTTCACTGTCAGCAAGCAACATTGTGTTGTTTGCATATTGTAGGCCACCATTGAGTCTTCCTCCAATCCTGATGTCATGTTCTTCTTCATATAGTCCAGCTTCTTGGATTATTTGCTCAGCACACTGGTTAAATAAGTGTGGTGAAAAGATGCAACACTGATGCACATCTTTCCTGATTTTAAACCATGCAGTGTCCCCTTGTTCTGTTCAAATGACTGCCTCTTGGTACAGGTTGTTCATGGGCACAACTAAATGTTCTGGAATTCCCATTCTTTGTAATATTATCTATATTTTTTAATAATTCACACAGTTGAATGCCTTTGCACAGTCAATAAAACACAGGTAAACATCTTTCTGGTATTCAGCATTGACATCCCTGGATCCACGTTCTCTTCTGAATCTGGCTTGAATTTATGGCAGTTCCTTGTCTACATACTGCTGCAACCATTTTTTTCAATTATCTTCAGCAAAATTTTGCTTATGCATGATATTAATGATATTGTTTTGATAATTTCCACATTCTGTTGAATCACCTTTCTTTGGAATGAGCACAAATACGGATCTCTTTCAGTCATGTAGCTGTCATTCAAATTTCTTGGCATAGATGAGTGAGCACCTCCAGTGCTGCATTTTTTTGTTGAAACATCTCAATTGGTATTCCATCAATTCCTGGAGCCTTGTTTTTCACCAATGCCTTCAGTGCATGTTGGACTTCTTCTTTCAATAGCATCCGTTCTTAGTCATATGCTACCTCCTGAAATATTTAGACATTGACTAATTCTTTTTGGTACAATGAGTATGTATTCCTTCCATTTTCTTTTGAAGCTTCCTGTATCATTCACTATTTTGCCCATAGAATCCTTCAATATTGCAGCTCAGGCTTGAATTTTTTCTTCAGTTCTTTCAGCTTGTGAAATATCAAGAATGTCCTTCCCTTTTGGTTTTCTAGCCCCAGGACTTTGAACATTTTCTTACTATACTTTATCTTCTCGAATGGCCTTGGCAATTTTCTGTTTAACTCTTTTACATCATCATTTATTCCTTTCGCTTTAGATATTCCGCTTTCAAGAGCAAGTTTCAGAGTTTCTTTTCATATCTATTTTGGTCGTTTCTTCCTTTCTTGTGTTTTAAATGTCTTTTTGCTTTCTTTATGTATGATGTCCTTGATGTCGTCCCACAACTCATCTGGTCTTTAGTCATTAGCGTTCAATGCATCAGATCAATTCTTCAGGTGGTCTCTAAATGAAGGTGAGATATATTCAAGGTTGTCTTTTTCCCCTCATGGACTTTTGTTTTAATTTTATTCAACTTCAACTCTAACTTTCATATGAACAATTGATGGTCTGTTCTGCAGTCAGCCCCTGGCCTTGTTCTGACTGACGATATTGAGCTTCACCATAATCTCTTTCCACAGATGTACTCTATTTGATCTCTGTGTATTCCATCTGGTGAGACCCAAGTGTACAGTCACCATTTACATTGTTGAAAAACGGTATTTGCAATGAATAAGCTGTTGGTCTTGCAAAATTCTATCATGCGATCTCCAGCATCGTTTCTATCCCAAAGCCATAGTTTCCAACTGCTGATCCTTCTTCTTTATTTCCAACTTTCACATTCCAATCACTAATATTTATCAATGCATCTTGGCTACATGTTTGAGCAATTTCAGACTGCAGGAGTTGGTAAAAATCTTCAATTTCTGCATATATTTGCTTAGTCAAAAAATAACACTTAATTCAACACACAAACTATGAAGACTGGAGATAGAACAAAAGGGAAGGAAAGGACAAAGAAGTTCTGGGAGAAAATGTGTCCTAAGTTCAGAGCAAAAGGCATGGGCAACTCAAATTCTAAAAGTGGATCCAACCCCCTACCTCCCAGTGTTTGGAGCCAGGTCATTCATCCATTTATTCACCAAATATTCATGAGTGCTTTTCATAGACCAAGTTGAGTGTCAGGTGTTTGAATATAAGGGTCAACTCTGCCCTTGAGGAGTTCACATACTAATGAGGGAGAGAAAGAGAAGTAATCAGTTATAAATCATGCTGAGCCATGGTGGTAACCCCTGTGGAGGACCAATGAAAGCAAGAGGAGAGGCATTCCTTCCAGTCTCCAGTAGGAAGCTAAGAGAAAACTCCCCTGGAACAGTAATGCTTGCTTCTCTTCTCCCTGCTGCCACAGCTCTCACCTATTAGGAAGGAGTCTGAATAGTCCTCCCTTTGCTGCTATTTCTGCAGAGAAACTGAAGAAGCCCCAAGTCACCTTTATAGCCACCATGTCTGAGAGTGCCTCCTGTAACCTCACGCTGATATGTTCTGTGGAGGGACCAGGGCAAAGTGTTGTGTTCAGCTGGATCGTGGTAAGTCCCCATGCTTCTGAGTCCTGTGGGGGCTCCACTCTTACCATCTCCTGGAAGCCGTGTGACCCGGACCTGGTATATATCTGCACAGCCAAGAACCCTGTCAGCAACAGCAGCTCCTTCCCTGTCCGTGCCCAGGAGTTCTGTGCAGGTACCTGATGCCAGTTGGGCCCTCCAGGGAATTCCAGAAAAAATATTGAGCAGCTGTGGGCCCTAAACCCCCGGGTTCTGGCAGGACACTGATGGGGTGGGGAAGCAAGAGAAAAGGCCTGAAGACTCTGTTCTCTACCCTCGGATGCTTGACAGAGGATGGCAGAGAACTTGGAAAGTCCCAGGGAACTATGAAAACTCCAAAGGCAGAACAGAGGAAGGGAAAAAAATATGGATGGCAGGGTTGAGAGTGATCTTTGCTTGGATAGAGGTGTCTCTTGGGGTATCTTCAAAAGGGTAGACAGGGCAGGAGAGGTCTGGTATACCATCAGGTGGAATGAGTAGTCATAAGAAAAGCAATACAGAAGCCTCATCAGAGGATAAGGGAGCAAGAAGGGGCCTTCAGAAGGCTGGCTGAGGGGCAAAGGAGTTGAGAGACAGTAACTGAGCTGCCATGTCTCCTCTCTGACTACAGATCCAGGAGCTTCCAGAGGAGGAACAATGGAACAGCCAGTAATAGGGGTCCTGGGAGAGTCGGTCACCTTTCCCCTGATGATCCCAGCCAGTCAGGACATAAAGAAAGTTGTCTGGATGTCTAACACATTTGTTATCAGCAAAGATCTGAGAGAAGCAGCAACAGAAGGCCCAACTATTAAATCCAAGGAACCCAATGAGGACCCAATGTGGCTCTTCAGTGAGGGCTACTCCCTGAAGATCAGTCAGCTAAAGATGGAGGACGCCGGCACCTATACAGCTTACCTGTGCTCAGAGACCCCCAGAGTCACTAGCACGAAGCAGTTCACTCTGCATATCTACCGTAAGTCTCTGGGTAGAGCCTCCATCATTAGATTCCTTCTCTGAAAGGTTTCTCCTCTTTGCTGCCTTCCTCACCTCCCTCCTTTCCTATGTCCCTCCTTGTATGAAAATGCCTCAGGCCACTAGGACAGCCATTCAGTTCACACCAGTTGATTCACAGGAGGAAAAATTACAACCAGCAGCTAGAAAAATCTACCTGTCAAGTTCTCCCTTCCTATAATCATCTATTAGGCCTCCCACCACCCAACATTCAGGTACCTGCTTCCTACATTGATCATCAGATGGGACCAGAAACTCTCCAAACTGTGTTTTTATAAAGCCTTGTCATTTTCTATTAAGGCAGAGCTAATTGAGGTAGAATCAGAGAAGACTGAGGAGAAGCCTCTGTCGGTGTTCAGATGGCTCTGTGGCCTCTGAGAGTGTGGGCTGCTCAGCAACCTTGAGTGTGAGGGAGAGAATGTACATTGTTCTTACTTAGCCCTGGGCTGCAAGGAGACTTGACAGGATGGTTTGCATGGTTTGAGTTTGTCAACTCCTTTATCTGTATCATTCAAGAGTAGTCAACATGCCTACTGCCTGTATTTGTTGGTGTCAGGGTACATGTGAAAAGAGTCACTCCCCATGGTCTTATTAAAATATGCGGCAAGTTGGCTAAGAACAGGGGACACTGGTGGTTCAGTGGTAGAATTCTTACCTTCCATGTGGGACTCTTGGGTTCAGTTCCTGGCCAATGCACCCGAAGAGCAGTCACTATCTGTTTGTCATTAGTGGTATGCATGTTGCTGTGATGCTGGACAAGTTTCAGTGGAGCTTCCAGACTAAGATGGCCTAGGAAGACAGGCCTGGTGATCTAGTTCCAAAAATCTGCCATTGAAAACCCTGTATATCATAACGATCCAACCATACCCTATCATGAGGCAGAACCAGGCAGCATCTTATTATGTTGTGCAAGGGGTCACCATGAGTCAGAAACCAACTTGATGGAAGCTAACAACAACAGGCCAAATGCACACCCAGTGAATGTTGTAACTCAATTATAAAAGAACCAGCAAGAAGATTAAATAAAAAACATAAACCAGGAACAAGCAGAGCCAGCCGTATTATTTCTTTAAAAATTGCTAACTGTATTAGTTTCCTAGGGCTGCTCTAACAAAGTACCACAAAGTAGGTGACTTTAAAAACAGAAATGTATTATGTCACAGTTCTGGAGGCTATGAGTCCAAATTCAGTGTGTCAGGGTCACATTCTCTCTGAAGGCTCTAGAAGAAGTTCCCTTCTTATCTCTATGTTTCTGGTAGCCCCAGATGTTCCCTGGCACGTAGATGCATCTTCATATAGCCATCTTTCCTATGTCTGTCTCTCTTTGTCTCTTCTCCTCTTCTATAGGACATCTCTCATATTGGATTAGGACACACCCTACTCTGGTATGATCTCATTTTAACTGAAAACTTGTTCAGTGACTCTATTTCCAAACAAGGTCACATTCACAGGTACCTGGGTTAGGACTTCAACATAAACTGGGGAGGGGAGGAGAGGTTACAATCAATCCATCACAAAAACATTCATTAAGCACCTGCTATATTATAGGTGTTATGTTACCTGCATTAGCTCATATAAGTAAACAAATAAATAAGATGATGGGACCTCAAATGCAAGCCTTGGAAGAGCCTTCAGAGCCCTTAGAAGGACTGTGCTTATTTTTGTTGAATGGTTTGCTTGTTTTTTTACAGCTGTAAGCATATCATATAGAATGATGCATCTTTTCTTTTTTCAGTTTTCAATAACTCCTTTATTTCACACATAAGCATCAAAGCCCCATAAGGTGAAGTGACATGCCTGAGATGTCACAGCTAACAAGAGAAAGGCCAAGCACACTAAAACGCTAGCACTTTCCCAGCCTTAACACAGAGTCAAACCTCAGTGAATATATTTTGAACAATTAAAAATACAGTTGCTTGATGGGCTGATGCCACTCTGGGCTTGTCTTTCTCCTCACACAGGGAGGCTGGAGAAGCCGAAAATCACCTGGAGCCCCAGGCCCCCTGAGGGCGGTATCTGCAGGGCCACCCTGACTTGCTCAGTGGAGGACAGTGGAGATGATGTGACGTACAGATGGATCTTCCAGCAGAAGGGAGCTGTTGTGTTCCAAGAGGGGTCATTCCTCAATGTCTCCTGGAGAAGCACTGAAAATCACCCCAATTTCACCTGCATAGCCACAAATCCCATCAGCAACAGTTCCTGGGAGTTTCTTTCTGGGAATATCTGTCCAGGTTTTTATCTTCATCATTACTTTCTGACAGCCCTCAGGACCTCAGCTCCAAAAGAGTATGTGGTTCTTTATGAAAGTACAGCAAGGCAGTTTGGGCAAGAGACTTTTAGAACAGCACATTCCAACAGAAGTATAACTGTAGCCATGTATGTAATTTCTAAACAGAACTCAGAGTTCAGTTCTGCTTTTGCTGTATGGCATTGAGTAAATTCCTTAGCCTCTCCTAGACTCGTTTTCTTTATGTATACTATGGGAGACTGTAAAAATATCTGCCTCATAGTATTGTTGTGAAGACTGATTGTGCCAAAATGCACAAAATCCTAGAATAGTGCTTGGCAATAGTGCTAGGCCTTCCTTTTTAACTTATTCACATAGTCTTGTTCCTTGATTGTCTGCATTCCTTTCCATATCAACTTTTCTTCACAATTCTCTAAGGTTGTTAAACTTTTTTTTAGTTTGGCTTTTTAATAGTCATGTCAAAGACAGAAACATGTAAAGTTAATCTTTATATATTTTTTAACCTAATATATTGAAAATAGGAGCTCTGATGGAGTAGTGCCTAAGGCATTTGACTGCTAACCAGAAGGCTGGCGGTTCAAACCCACCAGCCACTCCTCGGAAGGAAGGTTGGGCAATCTACTTCTGTAGTGATACCACCTTGGAAACCCAAGGAGGGGATGCTATGAGTAAGATCCAACTTCATGGCAGTGGTTGCATTGCGTTTGTTGTTATATTGAAAATATCATCATTGCAATATGTATCTAATATTTTTTCAATGAGTAGTGAAATAGTTTATATATTATCTTGTACCAATTCTTTGAAATACAGTATTTTACAGCATATCTCAATTCAGATGCTAAAGATTAATGGGTATATTCTATCTGTATTTAGAGTTTATACAATTTACAGCTGAAATAAAGCATATTTACATATCCAAGTTGTTCCAACATACTTAGTAATTTTTAAACAACTGAATTTTGTGTCAGTTTAAAATCTGATTAATGAAAATTTAAAAAATTTTGTTCCACTAACCACATTTTAAAGCTTGCACTGGGCTCATGGCACAGCATTAGAGAACAGTGGAGAAAAGTTGATAGGAAGCTGATACAGAAAGGGATGGAGAGAATCAAGGAACAAGTCTATGTGAATAAGTTAAAAAGGAAGGCCTAGGGTCTCTTACTAAATGCCTAGCACTATTCCAGGATTTTGTGCATTTTAGCACGATCAGTCTTCACAACAGCACTACGAAGCAGATATTCTTACAGTCTCCCATAGAATACATAAAGAAAACAAGACTTAAAGAGGTTAAGGAATTTACCAGCACCATACAGCAAAAGCAGAACTGGAACTCTGAGTTCTGTCCTCTGTTCTTCCCTACAGGGAAGCAGAGGGAAGGTAAAGTCTACTCACGGTCGATGATGCTGGATCAGGCTGTATCTGGAAGATGGGTCCAGATCCTAGCTAAACAGGAATATGGGCTTTTTCTGTCTCAAGCCTGGAACTCCCCTACTACCAGTTACAGAAAGGGGCAATGTAGTTTGGTGGTTAAGTATGTTTTAGAATCAGAGAGATTGCATTCAAATCCTGACTCAGGTACTTAAACTCTCTGACACTGGGAAAATCGTAAACCTAGAGATGTATTTACTACTGATACCTCTTGCCTAGAACAATATCTGCTCAATATATAGTTGTAGAATGAAAATCAACATTTTCTGCAATATTGTGGGATATTTAAGAGGCAAGTAGGGGATGGACATTATGTTCTGTCCATCATTTGCTCCACTGTCACTTGTCATTATTTGTATTAATATCACTCATTTCCTCTTCCAAGGGCCTGTGGAAAGCATGAAGTATTGGCCTATGATCTTCCTGGTAATTCCTATCCTTCTATGCTTTGGGATCTTCGGCTGGTACCTTTGGAAGCAAAAAGAACTGTGTAGGTTTGCAGAGACCAATGATGTCTGTCAACACTAGTCCATTTCTCTGGGGCCTTCCTTTCCTCAGGAGGATTCTCTGTACTCTAATCCCTTCCTACTTCTTGTCTTCCAAGATCTCATATCTTCTCAGAGTGATGGATGGGAGAGAAGGAGATGTTAGTTAGTGCTCTTTAGTTATAACCAAACCAAAAACCAAACTCACTGTCATCGAATAGATTTGACTCATAGTGACCCCTCCTTAGGTTTCCAAGGTGGTATCTCTATGGAAGTAAATTGCCCAGTCTTCCTTCCAAGGAGCGACTGGGGGCTTTGAACAACAGCCTTCTGGTTAGCAGCCAAATGCCTTAGGCACTACGCCACCAGAACGCCCACAATCAAAACCCAATTCAAACTAATTTAGACAAAAAGAGTGTTGGGGGGGATGACTTATTGATCACATAATCAATCTATAGGAAAGGTAGGAGGGGAGCTGGGCTTAAAAACAGATATCATCAGAGACTCAAATGTATCAGAGCTCGTCATCTCTCATCTCTGCTTCTCTCTTTGAGCTAGTTTAACTCCCTCCTACTGTCTGGTATCATAGTGCCTAAGGCACTTGACTGCTAACCAGAAGGCTGGTGGTTCAAACCCACCAGCCACTCCTCAGAAGGAAGATGGGGCAATCTACTTCCGTAGTGATACTGCCTCGGAAACCCAAGGAGGGGTCGCTATGAGTCGGGTCCGACTCAACAGCGCATAACAACAACAACTGAAGACATAAGGAGACCTGGTGAAGCAGCAGTTCAGCACTTGGCTACTAACCAAAAAGTCAGCAACTCAAACCCACCAACAACTCCACAGAAGAAAGATGTGGCAGTCTGCTTCCATAAAGATTACAGCGTTGGGAACCCTATGGGCCATTTCTACTCTGTCTTGTAGGGTTGTTATGAGTCTAAATTGACTGAATGGCAATGGGTTTGGTTTTTTGGATTGCAGCCAACAGAGAGGCAAGTGTGGAAGGTATACCACAACACAGCCATGATAGCTCAAGACTCATACATATTAATAGCTTAAGACCAGAAAAAGAAAAAACTTATTTCCCTCCAATTCCAATTTGAAAATTTTCAGAAAATAGCTCTGATTGGCCCTAGTTTAGGTCATGTGGCCACTTCTTGGGCTAATCATGTCACCAAAGGGGTGAGATATTATGATTTTTCTAGAATCTTGTTTTTGGAGTGGGTGTAGAACAGTTCACAAAAAGAACAGGATAGCTAGAATACATAGGGGTCCTGGAAGAATACATAGGACCTTTGATGCTCAAAGAAGCTTCTCTCCTCACAGCCCTCTTGATAAACCTTCTCTAACTTGGTTGGTTTCTCAGGTTCAGCTTCATCCTTCCCTTCCAGCCAAGTTGAGCCTCCAGCTGATGCACCAGGTAATATCACCAATGGTACAATCTATGGGGTCTCCATATGAAAGCTCCTAAGCCTTGCTACTCAAAATGTAGTCTGTCAATCAGCAACATGGGTATCAATCATGAGCTTTTCGGAAATGCAGAATCTTGGCAGCAGGTTTGGTGGGATGGAGTTTCCCATCGGCTCCCTCCTCACAGTGGCAGGGCAGAATCACCATCTCCCCAAGGCTGGACCCTCCTTTTCTGGTACCCCCAGCGAATGAGGATGAGTGAATTGCTAGGAACACCACTATTATCCCTGTCCCTCCTCCCCGACCCAGCACCTCTCCTCAACTCCCAAGGCCTGTTTCTTTAAATTCTCCATCATGTTTCCAAGGTACCCTCTTCTCTAGAGCCACTGCCACTACCTAAGTTCATGCTGTCACCAATTTTTGTTTAATTCTAGAAGTTTTCTTTATTGAATAGTCACATGGTACACAATAAAAAGTAAATCTCCTTCAAAATTCCAATCTCCAAGTCTCTTCCCCAGAGACAACCACTGTTAAAAGTTATGTATATCTAGATCCTTTCCGAGACTTTTTAGTATTTACAGGTATTATATATATAAAGGAGATCTGGTGGGGCAGTGAGTAAGGCATTTGGCTGCTAACTGAAAGGTTGACAGTTCAAACTGACCAGCTGCTGTGTGGGAGGAATATGAGGCAATCTACTCCTGTAAAAATTACAGCCTTGGAAACCCTATGGTGATCACTATGAGTCAGAATCAACTTGATGGCAGTGTGTTTTTTTGTTGTTGTGTGTATATATGGGTGTGTGTATGTGTGTGTGTGTGTATATATATATATATAAATGAGAATAATCTATACAAACTTTTCTGAACCTTGGTTAACTTAACAGTATATCCTAGCAAACCAGCATATGCAGATTAAGACTGTCTCTCATTTATTCCATTCTAGAGATACATCTTAACTTATTTAACCAGTTTTTATTAATGAACATTTCTATTCCTTGTTACTTCTTTCCTTGTTCTAGCTTCCTAGAAGGCCATCCCCTTTTCTGAGTTTCTTCTTTCTATCCCTTCTACTCACCAGCTTCCAAAGCTAAGCTCTGACCTGTTCTAAAATCAACGGCTCCTCACGGCCTTTTGTCTTTTTCTCAAGAGAAAATATAACCTAGAGGTCAGGTGCACAAGTTCTGGAGTCAGAAAATCTTGTATTCAAATGCCAGCTCACTTCTCTTTTGGTGATGTGATCTTGAGAAATTTAGTCTCTTAGCCCCGGTTTCCTTATTGTACAAAATGAAAAGCACCTATGTCCCAGAGTTGTTGTGAGGGGGATAATGCACAAAATAAGTGCTCAGTAGATGGTAACTCAGTATGGGGCTAGACCTCCTTCTATTTTTTTTCTACACAAAGCCCATACAGGGCAATATTGAGTAGTGGGTGAGAGCATCAGGGACCAGCATCAGGGACCAGGCTGCCTGAATTCAAATCCTGGTCCTACCACTTACAAAGGGAGCTCTGGTGGTATAGTGCCCAAGGCATTTGACTACTAACCAGAAGGCTGGCAAATCTCACATGGGCAAATACCTAACCTATATGTGCTTCATAGTGCCTCAGGCATTTGACTGCTAACCAGAAGGCTGGCGGTTCAAACCCACCAGCCACTCCTTGGAAGGAAGGTTGGGCAATCTACTTCCATAGAGATACTGCCTCGGAAACCCAAGGAGGGGTCACTATGAGTCAGATCCAACTCGACAGCAGTGAATTTGGGTTTTTATCATATGTGCTTGAGTTTCCTCATCTATAAAAAAAAAAAAAAAAAGGATAGTTATTATCTATACTTCATGGGGATTTACACAGATTAAGAAAGTTTATTCATGAAAAGCATTTAGAACAGTGCCCGGCACAAGTTGTTGTCAGGTGCCATTGAGTCTATTCCAACTCATAGTCACATATGTGACAGAGTAGAACTGCCCCATAGGATTTTCTTAGCTATAATCTTTCTGGAAATAGATCCCTAGGTCTTTCTTCCACAGAACAGCTGGGTAAATTTGAACCACCAGCCTTACATTAGCACCCAAGTGCTTAACCATTCATACCACCAGGGCTCCTTCCTGGCATATACAAACAAAACAAAACAAAACACTGCCATTGAGTCAATTCCAACTCATTGCAAACCCCATTGCGTTTCCAAGGCTGTAAATCTTTACAAGAGTGCCTCAGCTTCTTCCCTGGAGCAGCTGGTGGGTTTGAACTGCCAACCTCCCAGTCAGCAGCCAAATGCTTTATCACCAGAACTCCTTTCCTAGCACATAGTAGGCATTTAATAAATGTGAGCTATTGTTATTATATACTTAGATCCAATCGACTGTTTGATGTGCCCCAAAGGCAAAGTTGACATCTACCTAGCGTGCCACAGCAGCTGTTTTAGAATAGGTTCCCATTCTGATTGTAAGACCATTGCAGTTATTAAATATTTTTACTCTCATCCCTTTCCAAGAGGGTGCCACAGTTCCATGACTGCCTTTAATCATACTGTTCCCTCCACCAACAATGCCCTATTCACCTGTCAAAATCCTGTCCCTACTTCAAGGTCAAATTCAAACACCATCACTTTCATGAGTTCTTCCCTGTTTCCCAACCAGAAGTCATCTCTTCCCGCCTCTATAATTTTCTCATATCTTTCACATGATTTGTAAAATATTTATGTTAATTGATTTGAATATGCATCAGGTCCCCCAGCTATCTAGTATACCCTTTTAGGACCGCGTCTAATTTATCTTTGTGTTTCCCAGAACATGTGTTATGGTGCTTGGCATAGTTTATCCAACGAGGTCAGTTCTCTCACTAAGAATAACTGAGTCCATCACATGTCATACTCAATGAATGTTATCAAATGAATGAATAAATAAATAATTGAAAGGAAGGAAGAAGAGAGAGAGAGGGTAGAATGGAACCCCTGAAAGACCAAGAAAACCTTCTCCTCCAGTTTCCTAGGCCCCATCTGAGGAAGGAGTCAGAGTAAATTTGAATCCTTACTGAAAATCAAGAGAAACATAGGGTTGACACACTTCATATATTTATGTATGTGTATATGTGTATATATGGAGCTCTGGTAGCATAGTGCCTAAGGCACTAGACTGCTAACCAGAAGGCTGGCGGTTCAA